TCATTTTTAGCATTGTTGTCATATTTGAATGGATTAATAACGTCATTCAACCAAATTCCAATGCATTTATTCATCCGTCTCATCATCTAGCGTAGCTTGTAAATGAGTAAGGTGGCTGAGCTGTAGAGCACATTCTATTACAGTGACGTCGACAAAATTGCGATATTTGACAATCATTCGAGGGCAAGTGCAGCGGCGATTCTTAGGCAACATATTCACTTACGCTCTTGGTGGTAGGTTGACAGGCTGATTGGATCTGAAGTGTGTAATGTGGCACGATAAATTATGCAAAATTCTCTTCTTACTGCTGACATGTATAAAACCATTCCAAACTTTTGTGTTAGTCTCCAAATGCCCCTCTTTCAGTGATGCCGTGACATTTGATCTGACGGAGCATCTATTTAAATATCCCTGTACACATCCATCCATCCATCCATTACTCATCCAACTTTATACCCTTCTATCTCCATATACACATTCATATCTAGTGCAGAATGGAGATGGGTAACTTGGCTGCCGTGTAAAGAACTCTCGCACTTTGCCTTTTCTCCGGAGAGCAAACGCAGTGGCGCCTCTGATGCAACCCAATTACTTACTTAGTTAGTAATAGTAGTGGCAGTGGACCGTGTTTTGCAGAACCGTGAGATGGAACAAATAAATTAATTTTTATAGGTATATCTTGTTCAGAAACGGGTTTGTTTCCGTTCTCTATTGCTCTTCATGTACCGCCATAACGCGTGGACAGTTTAATGTGGCTCACTCTCTACCTACCATTCTAACTTGATTGCCACAACATCTATCCAGATAGCTTCTCAACTTCTCCGTTGCTAGATATCTCGGTGGCATGACGTTAGGACGTTAATTATAGCATCGGATTGCTCACTACATCGACAGGGGTTAACCATTGTCAGATAGGAAACTTGACGGAAATTATTCTCGCAATCAAACCTGTGAAAGAGGTCTATTCTCCTACATCAGGTCAATTCTCCTACAGACAACTCTTGCTGAGATGTCGAAGGTGAGTCCCTAATTCATCTACGTCATTTCACCTAATGTCTCGCCATTCGCCCACCTCCTCTGTCTCTCCACCACTGTTGGCACAAATCACGCTCTTACGGTTGTGACAGCTTACACACACAGACCCTACCTTTTACAAGGACGGCAACATTCGTTTAGTATGCACTATCTAATCTGCCATCTTGTCAAATTAATTTTGACAAGCTAATAAATTCTCCTTGCTTATAAATGTAATTTCATAGTCGGTCCTGCATCACTCCATTATTCGTTTAGGCTTCACCACAAAGAAAATACGACTCGCTTTACTGACTGAGGCTGCTTCTGTGCCACCGTCACTGACTACTGATAATCCGCCTGCCTCATGACATAGAGGGTGCAAAATTAAATGCTCAGTTAATCCAACATTCCGTTCAAGTCTTCCCACTTTCAGTGCGCTCGTGGCTATTAACTGCCGTCTTTCAGCAGAAATGGAATTTTTTCTAAATGGTGCCTCATAATATAGCATTAAGAATCTGCTTTCGTTTAAGGAAGCATTGTGAACATACGCGTTCGTCTTGATGTCGCCACCGTCGTTTGCATAGATCCCTGTGGCTACCCTAAAATGAGGAGGTTTTATACTTACTTTAGGAAAATTTACTATTAGAATGCAAAATAAACACTCAAAACGTAAAACAGTGGTAGTGTCAGATTTAATACACTGCTCTGAATGAAGTGGTTTAGCATTTCCTTACTTAAGGTCAAGACCTTATCAAACCTGGTGAGTTAGTGTCTATTGCGGCCCAATTGAAACAATGAAATGAATTTTACAAGTGCTTCACATCACGCGCCGTCAATTGTTGCGGGCACATCCATGCTAACATAACATCAGTTGACGGGCGGTCCTCACAATAATGCAACATGCGATTATTCTTACGCCTGTGTGAGACTTCTGTTGGTTTATTGCTAACAAATGTAACAGTTTTGTGTTTACACATAATATAATGTCTATTTCGACGTTGTGACTTCTGGTGCAGTTTAGTTGATGGCATGTGGAAGTTGCTAAATCTCTCGTACACAAGTGCGGCGATGGTTTTGAGATAAATCAAAGACTCACGGGATCGACGACGGATTGTAAGCACGGTTCCATCTAAATTTGAAAGTCAGCGAAATCAATTCTTTTGTAAACATCTTCTTTGAGATCAATTGTGCAGCCCTCCCACAGTTTCTCACTGGTCCTTGAAG